TGTCCTGGAAAACATATGCAATGCCATTACCGACCAGTTGCCAGGTGAGTCACGGAAGCACAGACAGGGGCTTCTGGGTAAAGGTTTCCAGGTTACGAATGGCGTACAGTTAACTGGTTTGCTGGGTGGCGTCGGATCACGTGAATAGAAAGCTCACAGTTGACAGGGGTATTACGAAAAGTTATCTGAATCATGCCGCCAGGGTTACCTTGAACCCGCCAGGTTAAGCGGGATGCGCATTCCCCGTTCGCAACCTCACCAATGATGAAAATGTGATTTTGAATATCGCAATTACAACGATATCGCGGTCATCAACACTCATATTACGTGGTTTTTTTTCAGTAACATGCAGCTCTAGTGCCCACTCATTCTCCCATAGCCACAGTGATTGCGACTTTATTTCACCGAATGAATTGTGTCTGTATATATTTAGATATAATATATCTACAGTCAAACCTCGGTTTTCGTCCATAATCCATTCCAGAAGGCTGTTCGAAAACCGAATTGTTCGAAAACCGAAACCACGCTCTTTTTTTTCAAAAAATTATTGTAGTTATTGAACATGTCTGCTCACAATGGAAAGCGACACGAAGAAGCGTCACTTCCTCGTCTACCCGAGGAAGAGTCATTTCCTCGTGTCCGGAACAGGATGCTTTTCTCCGACTTTGAGCAATCGGACGCAACCTATAATGTGCACCGCCATCCAATAGGTCAGCGGTACCCAACTCTCGGGACATTTGGTACCAGGCCGCACAGAAAGAATAAATAGCCTACATTACTTCCGCTTTATTCATTTCGGAATCTTGAAAGATGTTTTATTTTCAAAAATTCCCGGATCCTCTGTTACCTCCGTCGACAGTATGTCACTCTTGATGCACGTCAAGGCGTGCTTCTTGATCACGTGATAGGTTACCGCTAAAATGAACCCAGGAGCCAGAATTTAAATGCAGTAAATGTTTTCATTATCCCCTGCCACCGTCATTTAACGATAATTGACCAAATGCCAAATGTATAGTTAAGGTCATACTGTACATTAAAAAAATTAAAATAATGTAAGAAATAACACATTTTCTTGCGTTTAATCAATCTATCAGGCTCTCCGAGCCCAGTAGGTAACTTGCCATGAGGCAAAATGGTTTGATGGTTTACCGTGGTTTTAAAAGTCA